AGCCACTGTTTGGTAATCTTTTGGTAAATTTTTTCTATCTGTCATCTGAGGAGGATCTGAACTCAAGAAAAGGGGAAAGACAAAGCTTTTAGATATATTTGCTTTAGAATAAAAATGAGCTTAGTTTTCAAGGTTTTTTGTATAGCTACAATATGAAAATCATAGCTTCAGAAGAATCAAGGGCTTAAATCATACTTGTTACGTTTCCTTTCCTGCAGGAGATTGATTTTTTCTTTGGTGGTCGAACATTTAGTGGAAAAAATACAGCTACTTTCTCTGACTGCACCCTGTGTATAGTAAAACCTCATGCCATTGTTGAAGGTACAATTTACTCATTAATATGCTCTATACTGTAGATTTTTATTCGGTGGTTGTTGGAAGTGTAGTGCGCGTAAGCAGTTAACCCTTGGCCTGCGAGCAAGCTCTCCAGGGCGCTCTGGCGGAGGGGCAGGAAAAGGAAGGAGAACTTGCAACTACGTCTCTGGAGTATGAAAATTAATGTGCATCGAAAAAGTCAATGCCAAACACTGGCCGGGCGGAGATGTCATAAGCAATGACATCATTACGCTTTGCATGTGTTTTTCAATGTTTGTTTACATTCATGCTTGTTTCTGCTTCCTGGTGATTGGCCGAAATCTGACAGCTCAGTCGACGGGGAGCCACAGGGGAGTTGGAGGTGGAATTCCAATTGCAGAGATGTAGTTGCAATCTAAGCTCTCCTTTCTTTTCCCACCCCACCACCAGAGCACTCCAGCGAGCTTGCTTGCAGGCTAGTTAACCTTTTAAGCCCCAATATCCACGTAGAAATTCTCCCTAAAAACTGTTCTCCATACTTTTCCTTGGAAAATTAATTGAGAGATTTTGTTAAAAGATCAAAGCATTTTCCCATTCGGTTACTAATTCTTGTAACCTTTTACGTGGTTACGTTTTGATGTTGTTGGGAGGAAGTTGATGTCCATCACTCATGGGATTTAAAGGGTTGACACATCACTGGTCATGCTGAACGTTGATTCACAGATCGAAAGTCTGATGTGACCAGACTTTATAGGATCTGTTGGTCGAGACAATAGACTCTGATGTAGACTATAAAACAGACAGTATATTTGGGAAGGTCAAGAGCACCAGAGCAGTCAAGATATCACTGAGCAATGCAGCAAAATACTAAACACTGGCCAATCCACAAACACAAATGCTGGAGAACCTCCATTTGGCTACTGTCAAGACTATTGCTCCTTGTAGTTAACTCTGTTTAACTGTTTTTAAATCTTTTCTTCAGGCCTTACGGGCAAAATTATCTCAGCTATATGCAGCAAGNGGAGATTTTCAGTTAAGCGATGAAAATAAAATGACCCTCCTTAGGTAAGGGATTAAAATGTCCCGACCCTCCCCTGGAAAGCGTCCTAAAATTCTAGGACCCTCCCCTGAGTCCGAATTCTTATGCAGTGGTACAAGGAAAGTAATTCAGTACTTTCAAAAAAGCCATCTTGTACTGAAACTGACCTACGATGGACATGCAAGTGTTTCTTCTGTTGGCAAACAGGACACAAGAAAGTTTTTGGTTTAATGGGATTATGACAGTTTCTCCTTCATGTAGCCTGAAATTCATCCGATTGCTTCGAGTCATTTTCTCCTCTCAACAGCTGAGGGAGTAATAACGACTTGAAGTAATCGGATGAAATTCAGGCTATCTTTCACGACTATAAGAATCAAAGACGAATAATTTTCGCGAAAAAAAGTTAGACTTCTGAATGTTTTTTCAGTGGAGATCACTTCAAGTGATGCTCCAAAGAGGGGCATGTCACAAAACAGCATGCTATAGAAATGGGTACATTAAAACCTTATCAACCACAATCAAGTAGGAGAAGTTGCCTTTCTACACAAGGAAAATAATGATCATTATGTCAGGAAATCAGAATTGCATGTCATGATTTTCATATATGGTTTGTATTCTCGTACAACATAATATTGAAGCATCCCTTCACGATCGTAGTGGCTTATTTTTTTGTGACCCTCCCTCTTTTCCTGTCATTTTTTTTTCATAACCCTCCCTTTTGGAGGGCTCAAAAAACTCTGACCCTCCCCCGTTTTCCACCCCCCCTCCCCCCCTGCTAATTTCTGACAAGTCCCTGACAAGACTATTGCTCCTTGTTGTTAACTCTGTTTAACTGTTTTTAAATCTTTTCTTCAGGCCTCACGGGCAAAATTATCTCAGCTATATGCAGCAAGGGGTTTGAGATTTCTGCACTCCAAATGGTAAGAAAATAAAATAATCAAACAGGTGTGAATTCCCTGGCTTGTCAGGGAAGGAGACTAGAAGCTGAATTTTGTTTTTGTTTTTGTTTTTTTTTTGCGTGTTGATGGACCTATAGATGCACGAGCTTATAACTTACTGGAATTTCACATTATTACTTTAGAGATATCTAGCTTCTAATCTTATCGAGTTTGGGGGCCAATAAACAGTCGCTCTTAGGTACCAATAATGAGGTGGAGCAAGCAACTTCCATGTGGATCTCTTCCATGTACTCGTGTCACGGCGTTTTTACGGACCAGGTTATTTTTAGAACGGTTTTGGCGCGAATTTAGAATATCTTTTAAGTCCCACAAACCAGTCAGCAAAACCTACAGACCTAAAAGTGATAATTTTTGCCTTTTAATGACGTTACGTTTTCTTTTTGGATATCTTATGCTTCGAATACGTTCATACGCGTAACGGAGATTCCATTTTCGCGGGGAAGAGTGCCCTAAAGTGTGTCTAAAAATAAACTGGTTCGTATAAATGCTATGACATAGGCCTGGTATGGGAGTTGCTCGCTCAAGGTTTTGGGTTCTGTAACAAGGTAAAACACAGAGTCAATGTGAATGTGCCTTTAGAAGCATTCCATGCCCCCGCCCCACCATTCTAATCTTTTCACGTTGCTTCAAGAAGCTGAAGACGCAACACACCCAAGAATAATTATTTTTTAAAAATTTAATTTTATTAGCCTGCGTGTCTCCTTCTCGCGCGCCCGTTTTTTCTTGTGCCCACTACTTCCAAGCGCCTGCTATGCTGACTATAATTTTATATGACGGGACTATATCAACTGTACGTACTTCTTTTATGTCCCGATTCTTAGTTTCATCTTGAAAGAGCCAATGCTGAAGAATTTCATGAAGTGTACAAAGGTGTTGTATTTGAATACAAGGTCAGTACGCGGTACAAGTCGCGGTGGTCAAAGGACCAGGCGCTTAAGTATACTTTGAAAGCGAGCATAACTGTATATTGTGCCAAAAGTTCGGTTTTGTTTTTCAGAAATTATGATTTTTCTTATGAAAAGAACCTCGAGTATGAAACGAATATTAGGGATATTTCGCAAATCTCATCATCTTCAATTTTTTTTTGGTCATCGCGCTGTCTGAAAAACCACAAGGCCGTCATGTTTTCACTGGGCTCAAACTAGAATCTAGCATTCTTGGGATCCGTGATTTGGCCGACATACAGTGCGGGATTCGGGAAAACGCAGAATTTCTTGACGGGATACGGGGTTGATTACTACTCGGGCAACGGGATTCGCCGAAATCTCGGAACGGGATGTGGTACTGGGAAAAAAACGGTACTCAGGGTAGAGATGACAGAAGTTGGGGATGCTGGATCGACGTGAATGTAGCGTCAAGAACCCCTTTCTTAGACCCTGCATCAAGCTTTTCCCACGGGGGGAGGAGAAGCGAAGCTCCCCTCTCTAAAATCTCCCCTCCGCCACTCCCTAAGGACCAGCTAAAGGAAGGCCTGGAATCGTAACTAGAATCGCTCCTTTTGTGTTTTTTTCTCTTTGTATTTAGAGTATGGTCGAAGAACTGTGCTGTGGTCCCTGCCTTGCAATGGAAATAAGAGCTCCTGATGCGCCAGTTACATTTCGAGAATTTGTTGGACCTGCGGATCCCGTAAGCTGACTTTGTGAATATTTATCACAATATATTTAAATTTAAATTTATTTCCAGGGGTCGATTTCATAAAAATTTTACACTTGTAATTTACAACTGCGGTCATTGTTTAAGAGTCTGAAAACAATAGCTACACTTATAAATTACACTAGTAAAAGTTTTATTAAATTGACCCAAGGAAACCTGTGATTAGACTCGCGGACAAAGTAATTAGCCATCTCCTGATGAATCGTGATCGTTTAGCCCGACGGAGTTTCGCCAGGACGTAAGTCGATTCGCCCAATGACAAACAACACTCTTCAGACTCTACGACACGGTTAAGGTTTCATCAGGGATGTCTTAGGCTTGGATTCCATTGCTGAAATTGCTGAGTATGGTCTAGCGATCTCGAAGATAATATTCCAGATCATGAATGAATGTAATATTAGACTGAAGTCTACATATACCTCAGTAATCTACACCCATAATTCGCAATAATAAAGGCGTCGGTGTCCATCATAGAAAATTCATGAAAACGTGCTGAAGTCTTACAGGGCTGTTAAAAACTTTCATACCGGATGTGTGTGGGTACCGAGCTGTTAAATACTCTGTAGGAGATTTATCCCGTTGTTAATGAGATCAAAACTACACATGCACACATTACCCATTTGTATCTTGTATCACCCACTTGTAGCAGCATTTAGCATGTCACGCCCTCTCCTCCCACCTAACTCAGTAGGGACCGGTGCTTAAAAGTAGTCTGGGCTACACAGCCTTGCATTGTGTCGTCACGCAAAGCTACTCCCCTCAAGGAGGAGCGTTGCGTGACGAGTACAGAGAGAACGGCTTTGGAGCGGACCAAGCGCTTAGTAGCCATTTCTCGTTTTTAACCTCGATCTTATGTTGATGCCAAGTTTTAGAAAATTATTTGACTGCATTGTTTTTACCTCAATAATATTTTTTCCCTTGTTGGAAAGTTACACATCTTTTTTAAAGCAAGTACTGTTCTTTATTAAGTTTTAAGTCTAAGAAGATTAACGCGCACTTTTGGTTAAGCATGAAATGATTGGTACATCAACGCGAATTTAAGTTTTTTTCTTCTTGCATTCTTTTCAGAACCAGCAACACAAAGCTCTTTGTCCGAAAGAGGAATGAACTTTGCGGAAAATCCTGTCGTGGAGAACACATTCTCTCTGCCCAGAGATGTTTTTGAGCGACTGTGGTCGTCGCAACAAAGTGTATCAGATACCAGCTCTACTTCAACAAGCTATACAAGAAATCCAGCTTCTGCAAATACCACTGGCCAATGCCGTCGCCTTTCCGGTGGTTTAAACGTTACCGAGCTAACCGGAAGTAAAGCTAAACGACCTCGTTTGTCAATCTCAGAACAAGCCCTTACCCAGAGGGAACATCTCCAAAGGGAACAGCAAAAGCAGCTTAAGCTGCAGCTCATTATGCAAAAGCTTGAAAACACCAGAGAAAAAGTTCAGAGGTTGCTTCAACTACAGAAAGCGCGAGGACGTCCAGAAAAATACCGCCATAACTCGGCAGAAAAATCAATTGATTTGGAAAGTTTTCAGCGTCGTTATGTTCTTTTGAAACGAAGAGCTAACGCTCTCAACAGTCTACGCAGAAGTATACAGGACAAAGTCCCAATACCTCCCGCACAATCTCAGTTTCAAGGATCCCGATGCGTGCCTGGGATCAACCTTGTTACCAGTGGAGCTTGGTCGAAAGAGCATGGATCGGGATATTCTTATGACTCTTTCCACTCTGCTGGGTTAGCCTTGGACCATGGGACATATCCCAGAATTGTCGCTGTTCACTGTGTCATGGACAGAGCAGCTGTTAAAGCTGTACATCAACCTTACCAGCAAAAAGACAAACCTCCTTATGCAAGTGTTCCACGAAAATCTGATTATGTGTACAAGAAAAATGACTTTCAGAAAAATGGAACGTTTTCCCGTTTAACAAACGCAAGTAGTTCCTCAGTCGAAAATTTCAGAACTTGCGAAGGCGACGAAGTGGTCTTGACAAAAGTCATTCCTGGAAAGAAGGAAAGAAAACAGCAGGAGGTAGTAAACTTAGCGAACTGCAGCCAACGAGCAAGGGACAACAACAAACATTTATTAGAAAATGCGGCCGTCCCAGACGATGCCACCCATCTTAAGGATCGGCAGGAAACTTTTGTTCATCGTGTAGACATTGGTCAACTGACAACTGTTAGTCATCCAGAATACGTGGTAATTGCCGAGGAACATACGAGACATGTCAAACAATCGGGAAATGTTGATAATCAGGTTTCTAAAGACAATACTCCAACAAAGCAAGCTGAACTCAGTCAAAAACAGCAAAATGGTCCCCCACCCTATCTTCCTGTTCTTGACAAGACAAGAATGATGGAACGAGAGAAAGAAGTGAATCAAGAACGCCCTGTCAGCACTGCCTCGTCAGCCCACAAACTGGCCAAGACAGTACTGGAAATCAGCGAGAAAATCGTCCAGACGAGGGAAAGAATCAAGAACGAGACAATCGATTGGAAGAAATGCGTTCTTTTTAAACTCGAAAAGCGTTTGATTCAAAAACTAAGGCGAGCTGAACGTTTAACTGGACAGAGAACCGAGATCGAGGACCTGCGAGACGAGGTCCCAGGGCCAGTGACCAACGGCAAAAAGGGCAAAGTTCAAGGTCAACGGAAAAGAAGCAGTCGCAAAGATAACCAACCTGAAAGCACATGCGCAACGGATGGCGACGCAGACAAAAGTCAAGGTCACGAAAGAAGCCTGAGTCGGCAGTGCAGTATGAGTGATAGCGTGACAGATGATGAAACCGTTGATTGTCACGGACGGGAGAAAAGGAGTAGCGTATCGGATATCGGATGCGAAAGTGAGCAAATGAAGAACCGTCAACTTGATAGCGTGACAGAATGCGTGACGGAAGAGAATGAGAAACGGCCTGCGTGCTCCCAGGATCAGAAGAAAGAGGAGGCAATAGAATACCCACAAATGAAAAAAATAGAAGAAAACCCCACATTTGAAAACGAAATGCAATGCAATTACTCGACTGAAAAATACAGCAATGACCAAAATGATAAAATATCCTCTGCCCAGGAGAAGAACATTGAACGTTGCATCGGAAAATATGAGTTGGACCATGGTGAAAAGTGCGACCCGGGTGTAAAAAAAAAGTCGGAAAAGATTGAAAATCAAGTGGACATATGTAAGGAACACGGACAAGTTGACGGGAAAGCAACACTGAACACAAACAGCAATTGCGTAACGGTAGAACTCTCACAGGCCGCTTCCTCGAGTACGAAAAGAGAAAGCAGTTTCATCGATAATGCATCAGTCAATTCCACCTGCGCCCAGGCCCCCCCCGGGCTGACCCCCGGGAATTAGCATTTTTTTTGCCTTGGATGGCAAATTCCCGGGGGTGGGGACTCTTGAGCTGGCAAATCCCCCGGGGTGGGGAAGAAAAAAGAGGGCAAATGCCCCGTCATCCGTCAACAGTGTAACATTTTTTATTGATCGCACAGTCTAATAGTGCCATTTTAAGGTGCGATTTTTTGCTCCATTAACGTCTTCCTTTGTAATAGCGCTAGGATTCTAATTAAGACTTCACGCCGCGACGACATGCACCAGTTTATGGTTTTAGTATTGATATAAAATTATTGACATTAACATTAATAAAGCGCTGTAAAGTTATATGTTATGAATAGATTTATAAATGTGAAAGGGTGCTTCTCAAATAATATCAACAGAAATTCGATTCAATAACCAAAAAACGTTGATTCACATCGATAGCTCCAATTTCCCTATGTAATTCTGGCTTAATAAGCAATGAAGAAATGCATACATACATGCAAAATCGAGAACATGCCTTTTACAACCCTCTATAATTTATTCCTGTCCTTGACAGATGAGCCAGTCTCCTTTTTTTCCAGTAAAACCTTCTGTGTAGTTATATTCTGATAGGAAACCGCGTGCGTATCAAAAGCTCGGGAATGGCCCAGGCGTTGGCAAATGCCCGGCCCCCGGACAGTGCAAAATTTGCAAATGCCCCACCCCCGGGACTAACAAGGCGGGCAAATGCCCCGAAGCAGCCCGGGGGGGGGCTGGGCGCAGGTGGAATTGACTGATGCATAACGAAAGCGCAAAGAGGCAAAAGACAGAATCATGTCACGAAAAATCAGAAAAACAATTGCTCCTTGACAAGGACAAGAGAGAGTGCGTGACTGTAAGGAGTGAAACGAGGGAAGACCATCAACCAAAGGAAAGAAAAAATCTATTTGAGATTTTTAAATCTCGTTTCCAGGGCACTAATACGCTTTCGAATTCTTCGGTGTTAACAGCTGAAAAGAACTGTAAGTCTAACCAGAACGTTGTGGAACTCATCAAGAGCGCGAATGGCTTGAGCAAAAAGCTACAAAGTTGCGGAAAAGAAGATCATAAGTCAGTGTCTTTGGACTGCGATAGAAATATCTGGTCAACTTTAATGAAGGATGGAATTTCTTAAAACATAGCGCTTAATTCCTTTCAAGCGAAATATATGCCAGTTGGTCTGGTTTAGGTGTTTTTTCGGTGCTTTTTTGTCGCTCTTACATAAAAAAGCTTCGCCAGATTCCTTTTTTTTCGGTTCTGTACAGTGCAGTTAGTTTTTTTTTGTACATAGGTAAACAAAGTTAAACTGATAAGATGAAAGTGTCATGCTTAAGTTTAAACAGCATTTTACTTCAGTTACGAGTTCTTTACATTAATATCGCAAATCTACAATCAGTGACACTCAACTTGGGTCACACTGCTCTGATACCTGCCTTTCTCGATCTCTTGTTTTGTAACGGTTTTTCGGTGGAATTGTTCAAGCTCGAGGCCAACATTGAGGGGAAAGGAAAAAGGAGGTCGAGCACAACATGTCAACGTTATTCCTTCAATTGACCCAAGTTTTAATGTCACAGATTGTAGGTTGTTAGGTAACTGTGTATTTGTATAAATTATTGCTGTCATTTTCAACATCGTCGTCAATAATTCTTCTGATCATCAACCTAATGAGTTTTATTCTGCAGTTTGACAACCATATTCTTGAAGCCTGTTGCACTTGACGGCTAGACATGCCATAACATTAATAGCATGCCACACCTGTTCTACGAACGTCTGCTTAACGAGCAGGTCAGAACATAGTCAGAGCAATCACTGCGCGGTCACCCTGCGAGGAGAGCTCCCCTTGTCTTCCTGGGGTGTCAGTAAAATGCGGGGTCAAGGTCGGGGCCGGGTCCAGGCCCGGGGTCTATCTTTTTTTAAAGAATGCTGTTTTAGGGTTAGGGTTAGGATTAGTGTCAGCCCTAACCCTAAAACAGCATTCTTTTAACAAAGATAGACCCCGGACCCGGACCCGACCCTGACCCCGACCCCGCGTTTTAGTGACACCCGTCTTGTTGATCGATGAGGAGGAGAAAAAGGAGACTCTACCTAAACCGTGTCGAGCTTTTGAGGTCACTGTAGCCCATCTTCTGGGCTAGTCAATCTTGTTTCTCTCGTCAAATTGTTTTTTTTTTTTCGAGTGCAAGCATCTGCAGCTTGTTGATAAACCGATGGTCATAACCGAGCCCGCTGTAGCAAGAGCACGGCTATTAAATCTGGGTTCAAAACTATATCCTAGCAACAAGCCGCGCATGCTCAACAAAGTTTGTACTTAATTCATGCAAAGTTTTTCTCGAGTACACCAAAATCGAGAAAGAGAAAGAAATTAAGGTTCTGTAGCCTGGGTATCACAGTGCTGGGTATCACAGTGCATTTTCAAAACTCTTTTACGAAGCCGCTAAAATCTGGAACTCAATTGAACCCGATATAAGGAAAGAAAACATATCCAAGTTCGCGATGTCGAGTAAGAGTAAATCATTTTAATTCCNCTGGGTATCACAGTGCATTTTCAAAACTCTTTTACGAAGCCGCTAAAATCTGGAACTCAATTGAACCCGATATAAGGAAAGAAAACATATCCAAGTTCGCGATGTCGAGTAAGAGTAAATCATTTTAATTCCATTTTTAATCTTGTATATTAGAACTAGTTTTTATCTGTTCCGTTCTTACTTTCACTAATTTGTACTCATTATAATCCTTATATATATAGTGGCATTTGCAGTTGTACATTTTAGCTTTTTATGATAAATCTAGTTATATGTATTTTTATAATTATATAATATACTTTTAATTCTCTATTGCTTAAGGTTATTTTATGTAAGCTCGTACGTATTTTGAACGAGCTTTTTGACGGTACGTGCATGGGTAAATAAACGATTGATTGATTGAAAGTGTTCTTTGAGCCTTGAGTAATTTAGCGCTTGACTCCTGAGAAGGTTAGAAAAGGGGAAGACCTTGGATAACAATGACCACAATATTTAAGGATTTTCTAGAAAAGGTCTCACAAAAGGTGAAGCACTTACACTTCTTCGTGGTCAGGGAAACGTGACAAAGCTCTAATAACGTCTGGGTGAGAAGGTAGGCTTGGTCTCTTCATTTTTTGTGTAAACTACGCACGGGGGTAGGCTTTGAAATTATGCCAATAACTGTGCTAATTTTTGTAAATTATGCTCATTTGAGCAAAAAAATGCAGAAATTATGCTTTTGTTTTTACGTTAAACTTGGTAAAAACAACTTTATAAACTATACAACAAACAGGTGAATGGCAAACACATTTACCCTATTTACACCATAAGAGTGCACGTGCGCTTTCCATTCAGCCCAAAATTCCATAAATTTCGGCTAGAAATAAAATTGGTTCGGTCCGACCGGAATATTCGGGTCTACCTTTGAGGGTTGTCCACTTTGACCTGTCCTCTCATTTCGGTCAGTTGGACAAAAATGTCCCCTTCCATTTGACAAAATTGTTGTCCCCAGTACCGCTCTTTTGCATCCTGCTTACAAGAACATTAACCAGACGCTTGGTGGCTTGGGTCCGATCTGTGCAACTGGAATGTACCGTTCAGTTGACTCATTGGGCATGTGGAATATCCAGACTTTTGAGACAAACCGGCATTTAATTTTTATTGAATGGAACCCTAGGTTAGTGCGGAGTTTGAATACAGCTATAAAAGCTTAAAAAGCAAATTCAGCTTAATTCTTTTTGTCTACAATTTGATGATTGGATGATCTAAAGAAAATGGAGCAAATTATCCGAAAAAATACGGGGGTGAAAAAGGAAAAATGTTGGCGAGCGAAGCGAGTTCGAGCGTTGGCCTGGGAAGGGGAAAAGATGGCGGAGCCTCCGCCATCCTTTAACCTCTTCACACTACCGCTCGGCTCGCTTCGCTCGCCGACTTTTTTTCCCGCGCACGCCAATTTTTTGTCCCTTTTCCCTTGTCCCAGGCTACACTACCACGAGCTTATGAGTCGTGTTTAGCTTGTCAACACTTTATTTCAAGACTGCTGATTGGTCACTTACCACGGGTATAAAGCAATGAAAAAGGAATGTTGTTCTCGGTTGAGTGGGCGTATGTGGGGAGGGACGAAATACGAGCTTCTCTGAAAACGCTTGCGTGGGAGGCAAGCGTTTTAGTTCAAACCGTAATAATTGGACAAAACAGGCTCGGGAAATATACCCTTGTAGAGGGCACAAGTGTAAAAACTAGTGCCAAACGCCCCATCTGTAATAACATTTGGACCCAAGTGTAAGAAAGGTCCCATCTGTGATAACATTTCGAATCCAAGCGTAATAAAGGTCTCATCTGTTAATTATGACATTTGGTCCCAGCCTAGATAATATGTGACATTTCCATAACAGTCCTGTACATGGTTATCTTAACTTACAAAGTCTGGAAGTACTCTAACCTTCGATCAATCCACGGTCTGATTTCTTCGGGTTGGTGCATTTTTGATTTATTAAATTTCCATACTTTCCATAATTTTTTACCTTTCGTTTTGTCTTGTTTTGCTAACATGCTAAATTATGGGATATCTTCAGTTTTGTGGGCCCCATCTTCACTGAAAACTCCTCTCTAAGAAAGCTCTCTTACACTGCACGACCTAGACAGGTACGGCGATCTAAGGCGAACAGTCGAAATTGCAGGTGAATTCCTTCACGTGACGTCACTGCAGCCATATTCATTTGGTGTTTCAAAACAATAACACGGCGGCCATATTGGCATTCCAAACCAATCCTGTGCGAGTTGAACACTTTTCTTACGTAAAAAATTATTTTATTTCAATAAATTTGCATAGACTAGAGGCGTCAGTGAAAACGCTCCATAAGAAGATCACGAAAGCAGCGCAATATAGATGCTGGACTCAGATCGGAGACAAGCATTTGAATGAGTCGTGGAACTGGTTTGCCGCTAAGGGTAGCATCCGAGACTGGCTCTCTTAGTCCAGTGACAACCTTCGCCAGCGTTAGTTTTCTCCGACTTGACTGACCGCCCCTGGGTCTCCGAGGATTCTCACAGGCAACCCCCTGGCATTTTGAACTTTTAAGGTTTGATCTGTTAGAATTCCCATTGAAATGCCCCAGGTTCTGAATAAACAACAATCAGTTGCTTCTATCCCTGAGATTAGTCTCATTAGCGTGGTAGAAAACGGCGAGAAATTTGCATACGGCAAATGTAGCAAACAGCTTTATTTTATTTTTTTTTCTGGTTTTACTAAGGAACACTACCACTACCGTTACTGGTACTGGTGCTGGTACTGCTACATGGTTACGGCTTCGGCCGCTTGGGCTACTGCTTCTGGCTTCTGTTCAGTGCTGCTACTGCTACTGCTACTGCTACTTGACTACTAAAAGTGCTACTGCTACTACTACTGGCTACTGCTACTGCTGCTGCTGCTACTGGCTCCTTCTGCCACTCCTACTCCTACTGCTACTACTACTACTACTACTACTACTACTACTACTACTACTACTACTACTACTACTACTACTACTACTACTACTGCAACGTAACTACTACTACTACTGTCGCTGCTGCTGCTTGTTCATTTCCACTTGTAAAGGGTGCTGTTAATATTGTACTGACAATTTTTGCCATTAACACAGAGAGCAAGATTCGCAACAGCAAGATAAGTGTGACCATTGTGCACAAATGACGTCATACCATGAGCGTTTTGGGTTGAAAGTTCTTGATACTTAACGAACTGTGATCCAAGGGCCTGGTATATAACAGAATTTGCTTGATGATTGGCAACACCCAGGAATGTTCGTCCGCACATATCAAATGGGTGCCAGGTAACAGCTCCATGAGTAGTGATTGGCCGGACCTTTATAAACTGACGCCCATTCCACTTGTAAATGTTGGGTTTCTGTCCATCTGCTCTGTTTGCAAAGGCAAGAAAAGTGTGGCCATTCATTTTAAATGATATCACATCACGAACTTCATATGTACGAACAGACTGCCACTGAACAAAGTCATACCCTGACCATTTGTAAACATTTGAGGTAGAGCTCATTTTATTTGCAAAGGCAATGAAAGTTTCATTGTTAATTAGAAATGGGGCACTTCCGTAACCTCCAACTGTTGGTATCTCCTGAAACTTATCAAACTTGCCGTTTTTCCACTTATAGATGACTGACCTTACATAGTTTGTAAAATCATCATGCCAATTTGTAACTGCAAGAAAATATTCTTTTCCTATTTTAAAGAAACTAATCCTGCTTGCTCCTTTAGTTGAAACGTTTTGGAAGACAACGAACTTTAGTTCATTCCACTGATAAATAACTGAGTTCACTTGATATGTGTTTTCATTTCGCATATTAGCAACTGCGAGGTAATGTTTATTAGCAATTGTAAAGAATTTCATGTTATGTGCTCCTGAAGTATTTATGGCTTGGAACAAAGAGAATTTTTCAGTCAAATCGTTGAATTTGAAGATGAAGGACTTTGTGTTGAGTCCATCAGTATCACTTCTATAATTGGCGAAGGCAAGAAACTGACTTCCATTGATGGTAAATTGTTCAACATCAGCGGCCCCTGCGGTTAGAAAATCTTGGTATTTTCCAAAGTGTTTATTGGAACAATCTAAGAAGAAAAAAAGAACATTAATACAGTGAGCACTACAATTTTGTAACTTAAAATTAAAATATTTTGTACAACAACCATCGAGTAGAGGGCTTAATTACAGACAAAAACACCTAGTTCTAACAGAAAAAAACAAAGGAATTTGTTATAAAAATGCCTCTGGAAAGGAAACGGGTTTCGGGCAGAATTCACCGGACTTCGATTCTAGAGATAAAAAGAACTGGCTTTTCACGTTATTCATTATCTAAATCAATAGAGTATAAAGAGGTTAAACTCTTGTCTGAACACATCAATACCCTGTACAGCTTGCTTAAGCGTATTGCAATTCAAGATTTGTACATGTTTGTTAGCCTTTTTTTAACTAGGTAGTTAATAATAATAATGATAATAATAATAATAATAATAACAGTAATAATAATAATAATTTTTAAATAAGAAGAAAAAATGCCTTTTTAATTTTTAATAATTTTTAAATGAGAAGAAAAAATTTTATTGACAACAATGCTAACTATTAAAATCCTATTTACAATCATTCGCTTGAAAAAAAAAAACAGAAAAAAGTATAATAATAAAAATAATATTAATAATAATAATGATGATGATAATTAACCAGGTTAAACCCGTCAGCTGAAGCTGTTATAAATGGGTCACCAGGGCAACAAAACGATTAACAGTTAAAGGAAAAAAATAACTATACCAGAACAACTATCAGAAAAATGTAAAAACTATGTACAATGTCGATGGTTTATAAAAACTTGCTTAAGGTATTGCTGCTGGACATTCACTAGCAGGCTAGCAGGTCTTAGCTGCCTCATTCTCAGAGCCTAGCTAAATGAGAAACATAATGGGAAGATTACTTGTTAGCCATCGAGTGCGTACTAGAAAGTTTGTTCCCAAGCTTCACTAAAGCTTGCCCACGATCCACATGGAGTCTGGGTACGAGGCAGAGGTTCTAGTAAACCTGGCGCTTGTAATTTAGTTTTTCACTAGAGAACTTGGAAAATTGACTGTGAGTCTAAATTACAAAAAACTGATTTCTGTTTGGTATAAGCTACAATGAAAGCTTGCAGCAGTAATTATGCATTGATGGCCTACACAAATTTACAGATTTAGGCAAATCTAAAAGCGGACCTCTCATGTGAATTAAACAAAGCCAGATAACAGAGGAGAGATTCAAACAAACTGTAAAGCCAATGAACAGTTACATCGTTTATATTATCAATATTGTGTAAGGTAATTAAGCTTTGCAAAAGCCCACGTTCTCTCTGCCCAGGTAAACACTGGCAAAAAGGCAGCAATTGTCTCTTCTGACGCAAATTCGGTCGAATTCCCGCCATGTTTGCATGCAGTAAGTTGAGACGGACAAATACTCCAGTGGGCAAGACTTAAATTTCAGAGCGTGAGATGTAGACGAAGGTAACACGGGAATGACCAGATGAAGAGAAGAATTGTGCTTGATCGTTACACCAAGCATTGTTATTATTTTCGGTCAAATCATCCACGCATGACAGCAGAGGTGAAAAATAAATGAAAGCTCTGTTCAAGAAATGATTATATTTTAGATTATAGTACACTTCCTTACTTAGCTTACGAAGAGATAAATCATACCATAACACTGGCGGCCATTCCCAGTGAAACCTGGCTGACAGGTGCATGTAAAGTTTCCCGCGGTATCTGCCCAACAAGTTGCATTTGGATGGCAATCATGACTACCGTTGCTGCATTTATCAACGTCTAAATAAGCCGGAAGAAAAAGAAAAGAGCAAAGTAAACGATCCGATAACAAGAAGAACCATAGCCAACAGCTCTAACCCTTATTTCTGAAAAGCTATCACAGCCGGGCTTTTGTAGCCTGTGTACAGACGTCTCTTCTGAGGGAGGGGGGACGTCTGTACACAGGCTAGGGTTTTGACAATGGCCCACGTTTGATAAAGCAAAATTTTGTAAATTTTTTACGGCTCCATTGTTTTGCATTCCCAAACAGACTTGAGCACAAAGAAAACTAAACCAAATGTAGGAAAATGACCAGAAAGCCTCGTAGTCATGTTAGAATTTTAATATATCGAACATGGGCTATCAGAGAAAAACTGAAGAAAATTCAAGTTGTAATCGCGTTATGCTAATTTTCCTAATTTGCCCTTTTCATACTGTACTTTATGCACCTATCAATGTAAAGCCGGCGGGGGAGCGGGTGGGCGGGCAGGGCATGGGGTGGGGATTTGATTGTCTTTGTTGTCCTTGGACTAGGGCATTTGACTGATCTTGTTCTCCCGGGGGAGGGGATATTTGAATCTTTCTTCGCCCGACGTGGAGATATTTGACTGCCGCCTCAGACGAAAAAGACTGAGACCGAACATATGTTTCCCGCTTCCACGCTTCACGCATTCGCCATACGGTTTGAAAAGATCAGGAAGTCATGGAGGCCAATGAGAACAAGCGAAGGCTGAGTGGATTTCACTGTTTTATCTTCAAATTTCGTTTGTTTTAGCGTGTTTTTGATCAATTGAACCTCTTAAATAACTGTGGTATCAAAGTAAACGGAAGTAAAGAGAAACCAAGTCGATTTTTTCAGGTACAATTGATTAGTGTATGGCTCATTCACTACAATCACTGTAAACTTTTAAAACTGACGTTCTTTGTACCCTTTACTAAGAACGGTATATTTAGACTTACAAAATGTGCACTTTCCCCTAAAGGTTTATGTATTCTACGCAGTGTAACACGGATTATGGTTAAAACGTATAATTGCAGCTGTAACAGGAACATGTATCTTTGGTGATGCAGCAACGTTTATAAAAGATTGCAGTATTTTATTTGGAGATATTTTTATTGTGCCTTTCTTAGGTTCTGCCTTGGGATTGACAGCAATGTGCAGCCTGGGGTGGGGAAATTTGGTTGCATTTGACTGGAAAGATTTGCCCGTGGGCAGGGAATTTGATCTCAAATTTTTGAAAAAAGTCAAATCCCCACCCTATGCCCTGCCTCCCCTCCTCCCCCCCACCCCCGCCGGCATTACATTGATAGGTGCATTATTGCCAAGAGAGTATGTATGGAGTTATAATGCGGCTTACGCAAGTAGTTTGCGCTTTGCCCCCTTTCAGAGCCGTAGTTTGCGATGTGTTTTTCTTGTCGCGGCCACGAGTTAACTTATAGTGAATAATAAAGATGTGGTAAAAAGATATGTCGTGTTCGCCACTCTTGAGGCTTAACAACTGTTGTGGCCATTCTGCATTTTATGGTTACTCAAAGCACTAGTTTTTGAACTACGCTTTACTTTTAGTGATGGTGCCACTGGGTCATTAAATTATACTTACGGCAATTGTCCCATCTCCCTTCATACTGTCTATCTAAAGAACACCAGAATCTATGATGATCAGCATCGGTGCAAGAGTTGTATGTCACGCCTTTGTAAGTGAAGGGGATACTGCAGCATTGACCGGATGTTGTCCTCTGAGGGCACACAGTTGGTGTATTCTTTGTGGTCGTTACCACTGAAAGGTGAAAACAAAAGCGCAAACGAAATGGTAACATTTGACTTTTGAGGGATCGGGGGGGTGTATGGTGGGTGATTTGAGAAAAAAACAAGAAAGGCTCTTACAGCGGATTACAGTCTCCCTTGCTTGCAGAAAAACTAATTCTGTTGGTATAAGTAAGCTACAATGAAAGCTTGCAGCTGCAGTAATTATGCATTGATGGCCTACACAAATTTACAGATTAAGGCAAATCTAAAAGCGGACCTCCCATGCGAATTAAACAAAGCCAGATAACAGAAGAGAGATTCAAACAAACTGTAAAGCCAATGAACAGTTAAATCGTTTATATTATCAATATTGTGTAAGGTAATTAAGCTTTGCAAAAGCTCACGTTCTCTCTGCCCAGGTAAACACCGGCAAAAAGGCAGCAATTGTCTCTTCAACGCAAATTCGGTCGAATTCCCGCCATGTTTGCATGCAGTAAGTTGAGACGGACAAATACTCCAGTGGGCAAGACTTAAATTCCAAAGCGTGAGATGTAGACGAAAGTAACACGGGAATGACCAGATGAAGAGAAGAATTGTGCTTGATCGTTACACCAAGCATTGTTATTATTTTCGGTCAAATCATCCACGCATGACAGCAGAGGTGAAAAATAACTGAAAGCTCTGTTCAAGAAATGATTATATTTTAGATCATAGTTACTTTACACTTCCTTAATTAGTTTAAGAAGAGATAAATCATACCATAACACTGGCGGCCATTTCCAGTGAAACCTGGCTGACAGGTGCATGTAAAGTTTCCCGCGGTATCTGCCCAACAAGTTGCATTTGGATGGCAATCATGACTACCGTTGCTGCATTTATCAACGTCTAAATAAGCCGGGAGAAAAAGAAAAGAGCAAAGTAAACGATCCGATAACAAGAAGAACCATGGCCAACAGCTCTACCCCTTATTTCTAAAAAGCTATCACAGCTGGGCTTTTGACAATGGTCCACGTTTGATAAAGCAGATTTCTAACATTACCCCCGAGGCTTTACGGACGAAATTGTAAATTTTTTACGGCTCCATTGTTTTGCATTCCAAAAAGAGACTTGAGCACAAAGAAAACCAAACCGAATATAGGAAAATGACCAGAAAGCCTCGGAGTCATGTTAGAATTTTAATATATAGAACATGGGCTATCAGAAAAAAACTCAAGAAAATTTAAGTACTGTTGTAATCGCGTTATGCTTATTTTCCTAATTTGCTCTTTTCATACTGTACTTTATTGCCAAGTGAGTATGTATGGAATTATAATGCGGCTTACTCAAGTAGTTTGCGCTTTGCCTTTCAGAACCGTAGTTTGCGATTTGTTTTTCATGTCGTGGCCGCGGGTTCACTTATGGTTAATAATAAAGATGTGGTAAAAAGATATGTAATGTTCGCCACTCTTGAGGCTACAAATGTTGTGGCCATTCTGCATTTTATGGTCACTCAAAGCGCTAGTTTTCGAATTACACTTTACTTTTAGTGATGGTGCCACTAGGTCGTTGAATTATACTTACGACAATTATCCCACCGCCCTTTATACTGACTATCTAAAGAACACCAGAGTCTGTGATGGTCAGCATCGGTGCAAGAGTTGTATGTCACGCCTTTGTAAGTGAAGGGGATACTGCAGCATTGACCGGAAGTTGTCCTCAGAGGGCAAACAGTTATTGGTGTTATCTTTGTGGTCGTTAACACTGAAGTGTGAAAACAAAAGCGTGAATGAAATGGTAACATTAGGTAACATAGTACATTAGAGGCTGACCATTTGATTTCTGAGGTGGGGGGAGGGGGGGAGGGTGTGGTGGGCGATTTGAGCAAAAAATATCCGGCAGATTTTTTTTCGAAGTGAAAAAATCGTGCAAGGATATACCTGGGGAAAAATATATTCTAGACTGAAAAAATATCCCTCATGGCTTATTTTGCTGGAAAAAAATCTTAAGCCGTTTTATATCGGGGAAAAAATCTATCTCCAGAGGTTTGGGGAAAAAAAAGTATTACCCAAACCAAATCACCCATACTTCTCCTCAAAAGTCGACCTCTTTGCTAGGTTAAATCACTTTTTAATCCTTGGATATGCTAGGTAATTAATACCTCCACTTGGGGCCGTTGAAACGCCTTCGGGTTTTAGCTGCATTATAATGTTTTGAAAATTTTAAGGATTTCAGTCAATAGTTATACTTCCATGAGATCAACAAAATGATATAAATTTTGTGAGCTATACTTACCTTTGAGATAAAAATGGCTGTCATTTTGGGGGCCATGTTGAATTTAATTGAAAATGGTAATATAAAAATTGCGAAAACTTAACCCGTTTTTCCAATTTTTTATGCTTGAGGCCTAAAAATATGTTTTGATTAAACAGTTGGTTGCTTTCCGTACTATTTTTTTCCTTTTTTGGGCATAATGATGCGGAAAACTCGCTCAAAAAAGAAAGAAAGAGAGAAAAGTTAAGAATTGCTGGTTTTCAGTTTCACGCCATTCAAAATAGGTCAAAATAAAAATCAAAACCATTCAATAGATAAAGTCCAGAATTTGGGAAATGAAAGGAGGTACATATACAAAGACCCTCGCCAAGATTCAGGTCAGCAGAGGAATATTTCGTATAGGAGATATCCGAAGAAAAGTTTTACCCAAACTTATAGAGATTTGTTTGGAGACGCCATGCTGGTGCTCACCTGGATGAGCTCCAACTTGGCGGACGGAAACCAACAGAAACATCTGTTACTGAATATGCTACAAAAGCGTGAATTTATTCTTCGAGAAACTCATAAACATTAAAGTAATACTTTTTCTAATACATGAACTGTTTGGATAGCAAAATTTCCTGAAATAAGTCACTTTTTTAACCTGCGTAACAGCTCTCTTTACCGTCATGTAAATGCCGCGTCACGCAAAAGCTTAGAAATTTAAGCGCACTCTATCAAAAAACTAAGAACCCTTTTGAACCGAAAATTCGTACGAAAATTAGTTTTCAGCTGCTCTAATGCATCGTGAAAGTAAAATCTCGATAATTTTAGTGACGTCATGTGAAAACCAACAATAGAAAAAAAAAAAAACTCTAAGAGTCACCTGTCACCCACCCCTTCCCTTCTTTTACGTCAAAGATTAATCAGGCCAATTAATTAAAAACTTACGGCAATTCTCCCATCTCCCGTTATACTGATTATCTAACGAACACCAGAGTGTGTGATGATCAGCATCGGTGCAAGAGTTGTATGTCACGCCTTTGTAAGTGAAGGGGATACTGCAGCATTGACCGGATGTTGTCTTCTGAGTGCAAACAGTTGGTGTTCCTTTCGTGGTCGTTAACACTGAAGCGAAAGCGAAATGGTAGCATTACTCAGTAAAATTGGTTAAATCATTTTAATTCTCGGATACACAAATTTTCTAGGTTATTCATACCCACTACCTTGACTTACAGGGGGAATAGGGCCTTTAAATCCCCATCAGGTTGTGGCTGTTTCGTCGAAAGGATTTTAATGATAGACTGTGATGAAATCTACAAGATACCGTAAGAGCAGCTAAGGAATATTGTGAGCTATGACGTTTCTGCTGAGGACTTGAGAGTTAAAAATAGCTGTTATTTTGGCGGCTATCTTGGATTTAATTGAAAATTATGTTTTGGTTGTATTGCAGCAACGTAACATGTTTTATGCTTGAAGCTTAAAACTATGTTTTGATTAAATTAAGTTGGCAGTGTTTGGTACTGTTTTATACGCCGTTGACTGCTTGGGCAAAATGTGTGGCGAAAAACTCGCTCAAAATTAGCTTCAGATTCGTTCATTGTGTCAGTTATTACGTCATCATAGCAGCTACAAAAGTGTGTCCTATAAGTAAAAGAACTGCAACTGAAACGACTAAGCCCTGGCGCCAAAAACAAAAAAAGGAAGACAATGACAGACATTCCAAAAAAAGGGAAAGAAATTAAAAGAAAAAAGAAATCAAACAGTCGGATGGCATCCACCCCTATATTTCTCTTTTACTTTAAAGATCAATTAAGCCAATTTACTTACAACAATTTTCCCAATGCCCTTTATACTGACTATCTAATGAACACCAGAGTCTGTGATGATCAACATCGGTGCAAGAGTTGTATGTCACGCCTTCGTAAGTGAAGGGGATGCTGCAGCATTGACCGGAGGTTGTCTTCTGATGGCAAACCGTTGGTGGCATGGTAGTGGTCTGTGAACCTATAACAATAAAAAGAGAGCGATGAAGTTATGATAAAAAAGCATTAAGCATTAGTTGTGACTTCCATCTGCCTTCTACAATGCATTTCTCTGCATTTGCTTAGTTGGAGTCTTCGACCGCTTTCCTTTTCTGATTGATACAGTGGATTTTGATTTGCCATTTAAGGACTTTTAGGTCTTCACCAAGTGATCACTGTAAACTGCTGTAAATACAAGCTTCTAATAGTCAGAGTCATCAGAAAGCGGGTTACCTCCATTCTTCTTGGTTTCCTTTGCTTTCGCTGCTCTGTAAGAGTTCGGGTTAGAGCTCGGTTGCCTCGCACCATGCATGGCGGCCAGAAGGCCAACCACAGTCACAATGACCGCTATAACGAGCAGGAAAGCAAGAATTTGCCACAATCGGAAAACAAATCGCCTGTTAAAACACGCCTTAACATCCAGTTTCCAGGTTTCTGTTCTGAAATCTTCAGAACCTTCAAAAGGCTCCTGGGGGCTATTGAACCGCTTCAAGTTGAACATTGTACTGACTTGAATCTTCAATAATCAGTGGACAAAAAAATGGATTTAATGATATTTGCCTCAAAGACAAATCTAAGACAAATCTGACGTCAGATTTGTCCACCGATCAAATGCCCCAAATGTGAGACAAATCTGTTGTCATATTTGTCTCGAAGAAATGTGAGACAAATGTGGTTCAAATATGCCATTATATTTGCCCTTGTACAAAGGTATTTAAAACAAGACAAATACGAGGACAAATAAATTCTTGACTTCTTTTTCCAGTAAAATCGCAAGATAATTTGCTATTAATTGTTTAGAGATATTTTTGTTTATCTGATAATTCACGTTACTGAGATGTTTAAGATAGGGAAAAAGGAAAGAATTAGCTTTAAATTACCGATCTCTGCAAATATTTTTTAATCTTATTTTTGAAAAAAAGAAAAAGTTTTTATCAATAAATTAGATGGCGTGACATTTTAAGATTTTATATATCCATGTATTGATAAGGAGTCTTTTGACGTTTTAGCGTATGCTAGCAAGCTTGCTCGCGAGGCAAGTGTGAGGCTCACTAGCCATTTTTTAGTAAAGATTGAAAAATTGGAGTGGACGTAAAAGGAAAGAATCCCTCCTCCCTTTGACTCCTTTAACTGAGTTGTCAGTGTTTTGATCAGTGTTACTGCTGTGCTACTGGAAATATGAAAGTTCAACTCAAATTATTCAACCATATGGTAGAGTCTTATTTGCACTACCACCCTACACTATATAGGGTCTAAACCACATCACCATATTAACTCGACATAATGAAAGGCCAAGGCAGTGGAGAAAATACACTATAACGAGGTTTTTTTCCCCATATTTTTTACTTTTACTGGGATGAAAAATACCGTTCGTTATTCCGAGGACTTCATTATATCGGTTTGTTATATCGGAGTTCCACTTTACAATGGCCCACCCCTATATAATATATTTGACTGTATAGGTTATTTCTAACAGGCTTTTAAAGTCTCTAATTAATATTGTACCAAGCCCAAGAATCAAAGAATCTCTCATCAGTGAATAATTAATACTGCATACTGATAATAACACTGTAATAACATTAACTCCGTTTCATTCTGTTTCTTTCCCCCTGGTTTAGAAAGCTCCTTAACAGTGTTAGTTTTCATTTTTTATTAAATTTTTAACACTGTCCACCCTAGGTAAACAATAAATGATTAATATTGCGGGCCAGGATGCGTATTGCAGTGAGTGTTTGTAAAAAAATAATTACAGTGAAATAAACTCAACCAGATAGGACCACCAGACATTAACCAATTATAGCTAATGTTTACAACAAGGAAGTCTGACTTTGTTCCTTCTTTAGCCAATCAAAACCAAGAACACTGATTTAATTTCAATGTTTAGGTGGCTCCTGTTAAGTTTATCACAGTGTACCGTGAAAAAGGAAAACAAACTAAAAGAGTATAAATAACAATTATTGTTTGTTTCTCAATTCCCTTTTTCAAACATTTATTTCATTTACTAGGAAGTGTCCATCCATTTCAAAAAAGCATATGACAACTTAATCAAGATTATGCTTGACTTACAATCTCATTTTTGAATATCTTAATGGACTGTGATGGTTTCTCTGCAGTTCCACCACTAGAAATTAAACAGTCATTAAATATGCAAACATTTCTGGTACTTTAGTCACAAGTAAATTTTTCTTTCAAGTGGCAGAACAAAGAGTACATTTTCTCTTCTCCATGTTTGGACAGTTCCAATAAATTTACATTTAATTCTCTGAACTGGTATAAACGAAGCAGGTCCTAGTGGCTCAAATATGTCCTTACACCAAATTTCAGTGTTGCCACTTCCATGCCTGTTCCTATCTGGATGTCTTTGGAACCAGGAAACTCTGGCCATGACAAGAGTTTTTGGTTCTCCACCAAGAAAAATATTTTGCTTCAAGTAGTAGTGAACTACTCCTGGTCTTGCATCAGATGATGTAGGATCGATCTGGCCGTCAACTCCAACCCAAGAAGCAATGACATATGATGATCGTTCACTCCTCGAGTCGAGGGATCCATATCGATCACCGCAAAATTCCACGCTGGCAAAACGATCAAATAGTGCACTTCCATTAACCGCATCAACTCCTTCAAGAAATGTTGAATAGGAGTGCATCAAATAATCAAGTTCATCATCTTCAAGATAATCCATCTTATATGGTGAAATACAAGAAAATAATTCATTGTCAAACCACTGATCTGATTTGGTCACAACACTTTCTGATAGTGTCAAGACAGCAACAGCTGAATTAATATCTAGGAGGGGATCTGAACTACTGTTGTTCATTTGTTGGAATACTTGGCGAAAATGTTCCTGGAAGAGACTTGGAAATGGAAGGTCTCTGATTTCTTGATCTCGGAGAAATTTTCTCATGAGCTGAATCTCAACAGCTCTTTGATTAGTTTTGAAATCTCCAAGGATGCCATTGAAACGTTCAAATGAGAATAGCCAAAAGTTATGGACAGGTCCATAGTCCAACACACAGTTAATAATATGTGTATGGAGATGCATATTGGGTGTTACTTCCATCTGTCCATACATTGATTCAAACTTCTTGCAGAATTGCATAAGAAAAGAGTGAGCCTCACCAAGTGAGCGAATGGTGATAATTGGGACTGTTAGTATTCTGCAAGCTTTAACAAACAAGAGCCACAATTTGTAATCTTCTGAGGGAAGAAATTCCTACAGTCCTCTTACAGTGAGGAGAAAAAAAAGCATCTTATGGAAGTCCTCACTGTAGACTATATGTCCCCTGAGGAAAGCGAATATGAGGAGTCTGATGAGAATTCTGACAATCCTCAGCTCAGTAAACTGATCATTCGTAAGCTCCAGTGGCGTTCAGACGAATTAACCAGGGAGTTGAAGAGCCTTGACAGGAAGTCATATAGATCAAAAAGCCAGAGGGCCCGCCGAATGATGGTAAAAAGGGAAGTTGGAGGCTTTATTGCAGATAGCCTTCACTCACACCCATCAGGAGCACCAGCCTGGGCTCTTGTTGGCAGTCTAATACCAAGGCGTTAAGATAAAAATAATACAGCTTTGAGCATGATGTTTATGACAAATGTGTAAACTTGAATTTTTGCCATGTGTTATCACCTGTTTACTTTACACTTGTGTGAAGAAAATATTTTTTTTCTGCTACACTGAGGTTTTTCTTACTTTCCCTCTGAAATGATTGATATATTACAGAAAGAAAAAAAGAGAGAAAATCAGAATAAGAATAATTTTTCATGTTGACTGAAACATCATGCTTAAACTTACCTAATGACAAGGTTTTTATTATCACTTGTGAAATTGTCAAAGGTGTGTAATGGCCCAGTTCAGACACCAAACTTTTCATGAGCCGAACCTAATTCGAATTAAGGCTGACCCAAACTATTTAGACCACCTGAATTGATTCAGATGCCGCCGATCTTAATTCCAGCCGAACTAAATTCAAAGAGAAAAATGTCATTTTGGTCAAACTGCTTGCAAAATACATTACTGTACTATAATTTATGCATTAGGTTCAGTACGTGAAAAGTTCGACGTCTAATCAAAGCCATTCCAAAGTCGTTCCACAGTCAAAATTCCTGCCCAGGCTAGATGTGAACAATATTTATTGGGCTGTTCCAAATTGAAATAGGCGTTCATAACTGATTCAGACGCCGAACGTTTCATGCACTTACTTCAATGTATTAGGTTCGGCTCATGAAAAGATCAGCGTCTGAGCCGGGCCTAAGAAAGTCCTTTTGTAGAATATTGCTTTTCTTGCTTTTCTTGCTCTATAGATATGTTATTTTGCTTGTGTAAGTTGGGGTTATCATTTCCTTACTCCGATCTTTAAAACACATTGGCTCAACAAAAAATATATCTTTCAATAATATTTGGCTCAAAGCTTAGTTAGTTTGTCTGGTGATAAGTGTAACAATATTCTTCTTTGCTCTTCAATGTTTATGACGTTTTAAAAATACTTTTAAAGACAAAGGTCGATATAAATTATGTATTTATTTTATCGTTGAAAATAGTTTTTAGATTTCTGCATTCAATAGCTATTATTTAAAATTATTTATAATGATTAACTGGAGTTACAGTTTGTTGGATGTTGTACCAAATATTTAATGACAGATACCCAGGGGAAGGTTACTTGGATTAATTTTTACTGGTTATGTGCCGCTGGCTTCGCAGTATCCCTAGCCCATTATAGTGTATTCTGTGGCTATATTATAAACCCCATCTTAAACCACTTGATCAGAAAACGTGCGACCCCATTCTAGTAACTGTTATAAAAATGCAACCCCGTAAATTAATAGTCAATCCAGTTGTGAAAATGCAACCCCATCCAGCGGCACATACCCATTAGCGTACTACTAATAAGGACCCCCAGGCGAAGATATTGTAGTTTTCTTTTACAGTTAATTGTTGGATCAAGACTAGCATTGTGAAATAAATGAGAATTGTCAGTTGAGATTCTTGATTCTTTTTTCTTTAAGTATTGTAATCACCTTGCATCCTTTACAGTGGAACTCTGATATAAAGAAGTTTCAAAGAACCAAATGCAATAGAGATTGTTACTGTTTTAGCAATGTCTTCATTATATCGGGGTTTCAGGTAAGGGTTGTGATGAATGAGGGGAAAAAGAGATCGAATTGAATGAACTTCTGCAGCATTTTCCTCTGGCTTCTTAGTCCACGTTAAAGAAAGGTTGAAAGCTAGAGTTAAGTGCAAATCGCAAGAAGCAATAAAGGGGTAGATGCCAGGGAAGAAAAGAGAGAAGGGTAGTACGTATGTACTGGCCTGCTGGAGCACTCACTTTATAAATATAAAATTTGCTCTATATTTGTCCACACAAATGTGTTATTTGACCAAGTTTGATTACATTTGAACACATTTGTTTGCACTTTGCCTGTTTTATCTGTATTTGTCACAAAGCAAATGTTATATTTGTCCTACATTTACACATTATTTGTTCACATTTGTCTTGGATAGCAAATGCATCATTATCCTATTTGTCTTAAAGACAAATGTCTTATTTGTGTTTTGCACAAATGTGAACAAATGTGACAAATTTCATATTTAGACCACATTTGTCCCACATTTATCTCATTTCAAATCTGTTTTTTCGTCCAGTGAATGAGCTCAATGAGCGTCAAAGGTCTTCCTTGTATGAAGCTTCAGGATAGTATACGTGCTCCAACGTGTTCCAGCATGATGACACACCCTTGACCCGACGCTTATCGTGCGTGGCCTCGTGCTTACCAGGACAGTAAGCAATTAAATAAACCGCTCATATAACAAAACCAAATGCAGCTAGCATTCTTGTCAAGTCAGTTGTCATAGTCCAATGAAATCGCTAAGTCTAAATTTATCCGCAACTTTAGTCTTTAAGAAAGAACGCGTCTATAGATGAAAAATAGCGATTCAAGGATACGCCTGGATACGCAGGGATTGTGGGAGTTGAGCAAGTACAGAGTAGCAAAACTCAGCTGAACTTGGTCCGAGAGTTCCGGAGTCCCAGCGGCACCATCCCCACCCAAAGATTGCTAAAGTCCGGGGGAGGGTACTCCTGGGAATTCTTGGTAAGGGTGTGCCGCCCGATACTCCAAATCAAACCAAAGAACGTAATTTCCACACCCGTTTTCAGACTAGAACTCTAAAATCCATACCCATTTTCAGACCTGGCCTTTAGGCAGAAATTATGTTATTATTACTTAGATTAGAGCGCAGACAAAAAAATTCTTCAAATCCATTTCGAGTTCGCATATTTCTCTTTCTTTCTTTCTCATTTGGAATTGAAATGATAAATACGTTTATACTCTCCGTAGTTCCCTTGATCATGAAAACTATACCCGATTCCACAGCAAAGTGGGCAAGTGTATACCCGTTTTCAGACAAAAACGGCCCAAAAACCCTACCCGATGGGGCGGCACATACCTATATGGCTTATATAAGGGAATACCCCCCGGAGTATCCCCCGGGGGAACAGAGATTAACTTGGGCACGTGGATGTGCGATAAATGCTCTCCTTGTTAATTGTATCCCTGAAGAAGTCTTAGTTGGAGAAGGCGTTGGAAAAAAAAGAAAAAGGTTATAACTACAAAACGTTTTCCATTGTGTTGCCAATAGTCTCTGCTAAAAAAAAGTTAAAAAGAAGTAATAGATTTTAAAAAACCCTTTTGAAAAAACTTGGTTACCCTCCTACGAAAACGGCTTCCAAAAAACATTCAAAAAATGGTCCAACTGTCTAAGGATCTTGCGCCCAGGGTCCAGTCTATATCAAAATATTTTACCGTATAACAATCTCAACTTGACTGTAGCTTCATATCCTCTTTAGATATTGACTCTACGCGGTATAAAAGAACGGGGATGCCAAAACTCAGGGGCACCCAACGTCAATTTTTGGAAAATATCTGTTGGAAAGACGATTTGAGATCTAGAATTTTCGGAATATTTGTTGTAAAATTTCTTGCTTGTCTGCCTCTCCTAGGATTTTCGAACATCTACAAAATGGTATAGTTGCCCATTTTTAACGGATTTTTACCCTATAACGATCACCTAGAATTTTCGGGAGCCTTTTTTCTGGCTGAAATTTTCGAAAAGGTAAGTTTTGATCCCTATAATTTTCGGATCACTAGACTTTCAATCAGGTAGGAAATCCGAACAGACAAAAAATTTTTAGGGCATAAAAATATGCCTATATCCACCGTTTAAGTATTAAAATACGTTCAAAATGCTATGTTTAAGTGGTTTTGAACTATACCTTCGTTCGGTGCCGCTGAAAACTCGTACATGGGCAATTAATAAGGCTAGTCTAATCAGAAAGTGCGTTACCTCCGTTCTCCTTGGCTTGCTTTGTCATGGCTGCTTTGCTACAGATCTTCATACCTTGCAGTTTCCCTGGGCCATGCCTAGTAGTTAGAATACATGCACCCACAATAATAATGACCGCAATAATGAATAGGAAAACGAGAATATGCCACAATCGGAAAGTAAATCGTCTGTTAAAAAACGCCTTCACACCCTGTCTCCAGGTTTCTGATTTACAATCATCAGTGACCACAAGAGGTTCTTGGATATCGAACTGCATCTTCAGAAGAAATTGCACTTAAATCACTAATATGCTCTGTACGAAGAACGTCAAAGGTCTGTCTTTAAATCAAGCATAGGAAGTTCCGCTTTTAGTTCAGTTTTTTCTTGACCTCAGTACAGGAATTTCCGTCACTTAAATGGAAATCTAATATATCGGGCTAACCCGTTTCCGTCCAAGGAAAGCGCTACAAATCGTTGATAGCGAATCGTAAGGTTGTTCCCACCCCCGGGGGGGGGGGGGCACTTGGGTATTTTTTGGGTGGGTATGTGCCGCCCGGGACTCAAAATTGGCACCCCGTTCTAACAAGAACTCCCCCTAAAATTGATACCCCGTTCTACAAATGGGCCAATTTTTTATACCCCGTTCTAGAATTCGCCCTGAAACTGATACCCCGTTCTAGAAATGGGCCAATTTTTAATACTCGTTCTAGGGTGCAACAAGAGTACAACAATTTGCTTGTTAACGCATTGAACCGTATTTTTAAAAGCAATCTGTCCTTGAATAATTTCAAATGGCTGCTTACAAAACTGGAGCTTTCGCGCGTTCGAAATATTATACCCCGTTCTAGAAAACGCCTCTGAAATGGATACCCCGTTCTAAATCAGGAGCTCCAAATTCACGACCCCGTTGGGCGGCACATACCCATATAGGTAATGTATGGGAGTACCCCCCCCGGGTTCCCACCCTAAGAATACGTAATCCCGGGGGTACTCTGTTTAATGACCTACTGATACGCGGATAGGAGAGAGAGCCTGGAAACGAAGTTTCAGGCTTCAGGTGTATGAATGGGTAGGGATTTCACTAGTTGAAGTATAAGAAAGTGTAGGGAAAGATGTCATTGCGGTCAATAAAAAGGCCCAAGGGGGCTAACAGATGCATTTTATGGTGGTGGAAAAGTCGAGAAAACGTTCTGGTTTTGTAATTTATTCATATTTTAAAGACAGTGAACTGATATACAGCAGTCAACAGGGATGCAAAGTTCTGCACTAGGTATGTGAAAGGGGTTCCATTTGTAAATAGAAGGTCTATACGAAAGGGGTACCTTTTCTGTTAAAATGGTATATAAAAAGGGTAAAGCGCTGGACATCATGGCGGAGGCTCCAGGTGTAAACTTTGTTGAGTACCCCCCTGGGTACATAATCTGAAGCGAGATCTCTTGTCTATAGGAAGTTGTGAATACATTAGACTGGGCATTTCAAAGACTTGTTTTTCTCGGTCCACGCATGTACTATTTTTTCTCGGCTCTAATTCGCTTACTTCTCAACAACTTGTAACTTCTGCTAAAACGAGCAGTCTTTCCTTACGATGGGAAATACCATTGTGTAACTAGCCAAAAGAAGAATATGATGAGCAGATGAAAGATGGTGTGAGATATTGAACAGTCCTTGAATTGATTAGGGATATTATGCTCTCTCGGGCGCGACCCTGAGGAAGACAATATTATAGAAGATAGGAACGATATGGTAGATGTATGATAAGTGTAGAATCAAAGTATGTTGGATTTGTTTTACAATACTATGTACGGTAACAAATTCACACATGTTATAACGGATTGAAAAACTGGTGTAGAATAAATGTAACTCTAAATAATCCTTTATGAAGTCCCCCCTTTTCGTAACTGCCTCCATTTTTAAGGCTGAAGAATGTTCTTTTAGTTAAGTACCTCTTTCGTAGGAGTAGTTTAAGCGGTGACGTTTTTGAGCGACGCACGTAAATCGGAAGTGAACTTTTTTCTTTTTTAATAGGCCTTGACGCCTCCAAATTTGTATTTCTAAGGTCTTTACTCTTAAAGAGATGATTTGCCCAACAATTTGTTCAAGTCATAGCCGAAGAGTGCAAAACATTCCACTTCCGGTTGACGTGCGTCGCTCACTAAACATCGTTGCTTAAACTTCCTCTCTCATCACGCTTATCTGCTCCACGTTGCATTGATCAAGGATGACGGGGCTTAAGTTTTCTTCGTAATAGTGTGGTTTTTGATTTTTTTTTTTGATACATAAACAACTTGTGTAACAAAACAAGCCAGGGTGGTTTATCTTAAATTTCTCAGTTTTGCGGTCTCCTTAGTTTAAAGGGACCTTAAGATCCGAGGACGGCGACGTGAGATTTGCGTTCTCGTAACGGTCGCAATTATTCCAAATCACGTTTTTAAATGTACGCAAACTCTCCTGGAGTTGAATTCCTTAGAAACTATATCCAAGTTCAGAATCGAAAGGGATAGAAAATTTCGTCATCGCTTGTTTACGTCCTCTATAAAAGGTGAGCTTAGGGATACGTACGAGCAGTGAAGGCAAAGAAGTGTACTAAAAAGCGGGATGCAAGGGTAAAGATGTTGTTAATTTTTCTTTATATCAAACCTAATGTTTTTTGACGGTCTTGTTGCCGTTGTCGGGTCTTAAATAAGGTCCCTTTTAATTTTATGCAGTATCCCGAACAATATTAGCCAATATTGCCCTGGGTCGGAGCCAAGCTATCGAAGACTTGGTCATTGCCTAAGCTAATAACATAAATGGAAACTTTTCGCTTTGGAGAGACTGAATACCGAGTTGCTACTAACCCTCTAAATCCATACTAACCTGCGATCAGGCGATTTTTTTTCAAATACCCTCTGATTTTAAGTGTGGTAAGATATTTCGTATCACAAGCTTCACTAGCTAACAGAATGTGCATCGCTAATTAGTAAAATTAGACGTCAGATGCATTCCGGATCGCCAGCTACTGGATTCCAGATTCTTTGTCACGGTGGAACTTCAATCATTAACGGGATCCCGGATCCCTTGAGCTGTATTCCAGATTCCAAAGCCCAGGATTCCGGAAACTACAAGAAAAAAATCCCGGGATTCCGGAATCAATAAGAGAAAATTACCCGGATTCCGAATCCGGGTTCCCTTTCACGGGGCAACTTTTGCCTGACGAAAATGTCTTAAGGACCTAAAATAAGACAGAGGGCATTCGGCTTCTAGCTAGTCATACAGTTGAAAGAAAGTTCATGCAGACTTAACTGACAGGCGAACTGTTAATTTTCCTGTGTTTACTTTGGATGGGTACCCGTCGTGTTTAGGACTGGTAAACTTTACGGTAGAGCGGCCCTAGCAAATCTCTCTCAATAAACTCTACGGGTAATACCAATTTCACTCCTGTTTTGATTCAAATTAGGGTATGCTGCAATGAAACCGATGCAAAGGCATGCAAAAGTTCGCCAGCAAATTAGGCTGTTTGGGTAGTTAAACTGCCCTGGAGCGTAAAATAAACCGATTGTATTATCTGAATGGAATCTGGTTTTCATTTATTGACTCTACGTCATGATCTTTGGTTTGTTCCTTTTCAATATTAATGCGCTGTTTACAGGAGACAGAAAAATCGAAGAATCCGTGAACGTTTTTGCTCTATCTTACCAATCAAAGTCAAGTTATATTTGGAAGCACTACAAACTGATTAAATCAAATTTGTAGCAACACGGAGACGTTAAAAGAAGGCGGGCTTCAGTCTTTTAACATGGTACCTCGTTGACGAAGTAAATGAAATCTCATTGGACGTGCTGCAATATTCAACGGCATTCAACTTAACATCCAGGATTTTATCTTGGCTTATTTTATAGGAAAATCTAAAAATATGGACAGTTTTACATTTTATCTTTTATCAGTTGTTCTTGTGCTAACTTTCTTTGTGGCCACGCCAACGACAGGTAAGAAGCAATTATACCACTCGTTTGAGAATGTTAAGCTTGAATATTTCCCTCGACGCAAATGCTACCCCTTTTATCTCAAGATATTTTTTATAGTAAGGAGTTAAGCAATAACTAATAATAAACGTTAACCTCTTCTTCTTGAATAGTTCTTTAAATACTAAGGTAATTTTCCGGTTCTTGGATAACAGGTTTTCGTTAATTAACTAGCCAGGTTTGTGTGGGTTTAAGCGCAAATTCTTGTCGGTAATTATCTTTTCTAGCGCCCTTTTTAAACAAACATTATTTCAGAACACAGAACAGTAGAATGGTGTTCTTTTTGATAAAACCAGAGAGGTAATTGCCAACCATATCAATACCGTGATAGTGAAACACTAATAACTTTGATCTTTGATTTCTTTTAAACTCCTCTTTCTATTTCAGGAAGTGATTCCTTCTTTGGTCTTTATCGAGGTAACTAAGATTTTTTATACCGTTACTGTATTTAAATTCATATCCTCTCAGCCACGTTTGGCGTTATTCAATTTTAAATGGACCTCTATGCCTAGCCTATTTCAGGCTCTCAGATAGTAGGGATGACGCGTGAAGTGTAAGGCACGCGGAAATATAAGCGCGCTTGAAAAAAGGGGCGGTGGCCTCTCTTCAGTTTCCTTCCGTTTTATTTTTGTTTTGGGCTTTTTGAATTTTCGCGGACACGACTATTTCGGAGCGTGGAACAGGCTACTTTATACACAGCAGTCATTTTCGTCGCCAGAGTTGCGATCCTTTTGGCCAGCGCCAAGCGAAGAGTTCTGGCTGGGGCTAAGGACAGGAAGGTCCGCGTAAAACACAGAGTTCTCCCGGCTTTCCATGCCCAGCTTCAGAGATCTGAAACAATGACGGTTACCATCGATTACAATAAGGGAACCCTCTGCGCTTGTACGCTGGTCCCAGGGGGAGCTGCTTTTGATCTGTGGCGCTGACGACAAGGAAATGAGTTCTGGGGAGCAGAATGAATAGCATACATTCGCAGAGAAAACCTGGACTATTCAAAATCCTTATTTTTTCGTAAGGTCGGCGACACCAAGCACCTACCTTCACCGGCGGCCATCTTACGGCAAATGTTTTGAGGAGGCGGGCCCTCGCTTTTAATTAGATTTGGCGTGACTTGGTAAATTTACAGCCATGATTACCGCCCGTAAGGGTAGGTGCTGGACCCCGACGATCCTACGAAAAAAAATTGGTGACTGTGACGACTCTAGAGAAAACCTAACAGAGAATATGAAATCAAAATGATGGACAATTATAAATGGAATATCTTTAAATAACACTAGGAAGTGATGGAAATTTAAAAAAGGAATGGAACTAAGACGTGTCTGTGTCTTCGCTGAGTAGATCTTTTGACATTATTTTGATACAAAATGACCTTCGTGAGTCAAACGAATCAACGAGTTTGCGTAAAGCTTCGTAACGTTCGGTAATACACGTATTTCTAGTCAGTACAGTTGACACTTCGGAGCAGCTCTCGTAACTGCGCTTTGAATTCTGTCATCTACAAATGACTAAAAATGATTATTTCTTTTTCCTGTTAGTATCACGCTCCGCCCCTCCTCTCGCCAAAAACCAAAACCCCGTTTGTAAAAAAGCGCAGTTACTGCACAGTGACATAGTGCAGAATGCGTCGCTTGAGGGTCAGCTGCATGCTGGGAATTTCACCTTTCTCGGCCCGGTAAAAAACATGGAGGAATGTATGTCATTATGCTGCGCGAGCAAGCGATGTCAGTTGGCTTACATGGATAAAGCAAAATGTTATGGTGTCAAGTGTTACAGCGAGGAATTGTGTAAAATAACGACGGGTTACTCACCGAGTGAAGTCAAGATATCGCTGATGGTTAGGAACGATATCAACAGAAAAGGTATATACCTGTAATAATGATATTATAAAGGAAATAAAGGGAGATGTAAAGAATCAACCATAAGAGGACACAGAAAAATTCTGAGCCCCAGATGGGATTCGAACCCACGACCCTCCGTGTTCTAGATCGGTTGCTCTAACCTCTGAGCTACTGAGGACTCGTTCTCGAGCAAGGGTCATTTTTATGGGTTAGACTTGCGAACCGCATCTCGCAGTCACACAGTCCATCACAAGCAACACATTTTAAAAGGCTTGACTGTATCACACAGTCACATTAATAGCAAGAAATGTCTCACCCATTAAGGAGGATCCAACCAACCAACCGATCTAGAACACGGAGGGTCGTGGGTTCGAATCCCATCTGGGGCTCAGATTTTTTCTGTGTCCTCTTATGGTTGATTCTTTACATCTCTCTTTATTTCCTTTATAATACCAATATCAGTGGAATAATAATATTATTATTACTATTATAATTACCATTTTTCTGTAATCATAATTGACGTGAAGAATTTTTTAAAGACGTTTTAATGATCGCTTGTGCCTATTGATCAATTAATAACCATAGGGGTATACTCTTGCTACCGATATGGGATTAGGTGATAAAGAACTGGGCCTTCATAACAGCGTTGATTCTGCTCTGATGAGGGTCTGGCGATAATGTCGTCAGCTCTTGTATACCTTGCTGTACTATTTCACCTTTTTTACTTCATGAACAGATTTAGCGGGTGTTTTCAGTGTTTTCCCCGGGGGATCACTCAAATGTGAGGGGTAGGCTGTACACGATAAATGTTACTGTCAAAGAAGTTTGAGTAAAGGTAGGGTAGACGTCCCTGTGTAAGAAATAAAACCGTTCATTTTGCACACCTTATTTCATGACTCTGACTCATTTCGTTTCGGAATTAGCTTTGGTTGAAAAAGAAAAACCTTGTTGGTACCCCGCCCTTATGTAGACCGCTCATCGCCATCCTCCAAACTCTTTTTATCCTTTAAGTCCCCATATCCAAATACAAATTCTCCCTACTAATCTCCATACATTTCCTTAAAGAATTGGATAAAAGAATTTGTTTGCTGATCAAAGCTTTTCCCATCAGGTGATCATCTCATTAATTCTCACAACATTTTCTCTACATTATGTATTGACATTGTTACGAGAAAATTGACTTTGGTCACTGTTGGGACTTAAAGAGTAAAGACTTCCTGTTCAAAAAAGACACTGAAATCCATACCCTGTTCAGCGGCACATACCCGTCCAAACCAGTAGTGCACCACCCCCCTCCCCTCCCACACCCTCGGGTGTCTCATAATCTTATTTTCTCGACCAATCAGGAATAAAATCACCCATGTGTGACGTACTGGCATCGGCATCCAGTTTATGCTAATTCTTGGCCGCCAACAGAGGTTTGCGCGAAAGAATGCCTTTAGTCATGATCACACTAAGTCTTGATATAGCACTATTTGCTTGTGTTTCTTCCTGTTACGTAGCTCAGTAGGCGCTGTTTGTATATTTATTTTTCAGCGTATGTGACAGCATACATTGTGGTGGTGCTGGTAGCCTTTGGCGCTGCCGTGTCAGGAACAGTGTGGGCCGTATTTATATTTGTTAGAAGGTACGCTGCAACATAGAGTTGAACAATTCAGTTATCAAAGCTGTGTTTTCATTTTTCAACCTCCAAGGCCGGAAAATTTTTAGTCAAACCCACATGGACCTGAGTCACCAAGGGAAGAATTAAAATTAAGGGACGGGAAGGAGCGGAATATCTCAGCAGAGGCGGCGGAGCGTTTTGAAATGTGTGGGCAAAAATATCTTCCATTCAGCCATTTGTATACCCCTATTCAGATTTTCCCTTTGCGTTGTTCGTTGGCACAAGCAATTTTCACAGGGTCTAGTGCGTCCATAATCGATTTGTGACAATGCATCAGTAGGCACTTGTTCAGGCGGACCTGCTTCATTGTGCTTCTAAGGTAATTCTTGAGTCGTCTAAGGGCAGTGCGCTCTGAAGTCACCGATGTCAGAGGTATTGTCAGATACATCCGTAAAAGTGTTGTTCCCCCTGCTCTGCCGCCTGTGCTTAGTCAATTTTAAAGTCTACCTCAAACGTTATTTTACTGAACTTGTTTCACCAGATGGATAGGGTTTTTGTGCATATTTTCGGGCTTTTAATAAGAATATCTATACAGACAACTCTCTCGGACGGTTTTCTCTCTAAGACGGACACCTGGTGTTGGTCCCTACCGATTTTCAGTGAATTTACTGTAACTATACTCTCTGTAAGACGGGAACCTGCCGTTTTTCAGTCATTTACGGTAACTATACTCTCTATGAGACGGACACCTCTCTTAAACGGACAACGGACACTTTTGAAACCGTCGACGGACAATTGGGAAGTGTTTTATGTAGTGAAAAATAACTCAAAACGGAAATGCAGGCGCTCTACATGACAGTAAATTGCAAATGTTTGATATTTCGTAGTCTTGCTCCAGTGCGCAGAGTGCACTGTTACGCTTTTAGAGCACGAAGCCATGAACGTTTGCTTGTAATGAACGTTTGATAGATTGCACAATGAGAAAAGTTTCCACGTCTCTGTAGTTTACTACACAGCCGTTTTTTAGAGTCGTCACGCAACGCTCCTCCCCACTTGTGACGACACTAAAAACGGCTGTGTAGCAGACTAACGTCTCTGTTGCAAAGTTCCAGTTTTACCTGTTTTGTACAAGTTAAACAGACGTGTGTTCATGGCGAATAGGTTCAGCTTTAAAATTACTGGTGTTACGTTACCTCGACTCTCTCAACCGCGACTCCAGTGCCGAGTTGTTCAAAGATGGGTTTAGATAACCCCGGGTTAGTGCGAGATTTAAATTCAGATTTGAAGGTCTAAAAATTGCACAGAAAATTATCCGAGAGAATGATTTTGAACACAAGAGAAAGAAACCCGGGTTAAATTTAACCACGGGTCAAGCGCTAATCGGCCTTCGAACAGCTGGGCCCAGGGCCCGGTTGCATAAAACGTCCGTAACAACTACGGGTACACGTACGTGCATTCGTAACTTAAGTCAGTTGCATGAAATCACTTAAGTGGTCCACTTAGGGAATTCACTTAAGTGGTTGCACTTACGATTTTGCGGGTGTTGCATAAAACTTTTTTTACGGGAAAAATAGCACGTAAATTTACGGGACCTATATAGGTCCCTTATCGTCACTGTTTTTACTAAATTTAACGAGATCTTTTACTGAGAAGTGAAAAAAAGTATTTTTCTTCACGTAATTCGTTCTAATGCGCTTTGTTAACCCCTGATGTACACTTTTGTGAAAAAAAAGGAAGAACTATCATTTTCAGTAGATATTGAAGGAAAATAACGTTTGCATGCAAATTTCATTTTTTGAGAGGCTTAAAAGTGTTGGAAACGAATTTTACTTTCTTTACACTCACCGATGATTAGCTTTAAAAAAAAGAGTGAATCGTTAATAAAGTACTATATCAAGGTTACGTGTGCCCTTAAGTGAGCCCGTAAGTTACCACGTAAAACAGAAACTTACGAGAGTGCTAAGTGTGTTCCATGCAACACCCGTAAGTGTACCCATAGCGGATTCGTAAGTGACCTACTTAAGTGAGCACTTAAGTGCAGGTTGTATGCAACCGGGCCCAGGGCTTTAACTCTCCAGAAGCCGGAGACCCTCTAAGACGGACAGTCAGGGCCGGTCTCAAAGGTTTCCGTCTTAGAGAGAGTTGACTGCTAAAGAAATGATGAAGCACACTGCCTCCATCTCAGAGGCTTTCTTTTTTCGCACTTTGGTCGCATCGTGAACGCGATTGGCTTGTGATGAAACGCGCGGGATCAAGGGGTAGAGACAGGCCAAGCGACATCTGGCCCGCTTTCTCCATCCCACCGTCCTTTGCGCGCAAAAAGGAATGTCTGTGAAGGGGACAGATGAGCGCATATGAGGTCTCTAGTCCACTGTTCGAAGACCTTACATAACTCATCTTCCAGTGAGGTGCTCTGTGTTACCAGTATTTGGTCGTTCCTTATTACTGGTTTCTAAATCCTTACTCGAGCGGCAGAGAGGTTTGAAATATAACACTTTCTGGAAAGAAAGGTACATCTTCAACGGGAATATGAGGTCGCTTTCGTTAAGAGTGAGTTGGGAAAGGTCTTTTAACTTCAGAGATTGAAAACGCTTGGATTTTTGGTAGCTGTAAATCCTTTAATAGCAGTCAAACAAGCAAACGGCAAAAATTATACTAAGCAGTTATCGGTCCGAAATCTAAAGTAATATAATTTATTTCAGATATCGAGAAAATGGCGGGACGAAACCGAATGAAGGTGATGATGAAGATCCTAAGGCTGAGCCCAAGGTGGGTGCTTGATCTCGTTAGAACAAACCCTGCAAAGCTTATAGAGCTTATTCGCAAGAAACGCCGCACGCGCAATAGCTCAGACCAAGTACAACTGGCTCAGTATTGCTCTCTCACTATCCTGCCTCTTGTGCGGTATCGATCCATTAATACAACTCCCCTCGCAAACCCTTGCAAAACTCGGTGTGAATAGCTCCACTCAATTTAAACAATGCTACATGGATAGGAACCGATTGGGTGACCAGTCGCAAATATCCTGTCGTGACGACTCCGACGTAAGGTAGCAGGCGATGAAGCAAACAAGCGAATAACAGTTTTCCTCTTTTTTTGTTCCAACAGGTTTACTAGTTTAACTGACTACGGAAAAATTTAGTGCAAGATAAAGAATCCACTAGATAAATGTCTTTATCCTGATGACAGTCAGCCAACGAGAAGTGAAGTCGACAATTTAAAAGCGTAGGGTAGAATAAATAAACGTGGTCAGGCTCGGCACGAAATATAGCAACAAAAAAATACTTTCCCTTATGGATATTAGTGTTTATTGTTCTGCATGCATGCAAATTTTTTGTTCACAGTGAAGGCCTGTTTATATGAAGTGAGCCGGCGCGGTTAGCCGGACTGGCTCCGCTCATGCCTTGTTGACGTTTAGTCGGGCTGCCCCGCTGGCCGAGCATCGTGGTTGCTCGAGCTGAGATCTCCGCGAGCACACCAGCCGGTCTTCTCATATAAACACAAAAAATTTTGTTATGAGGAAACAAGGCACAAGCCGAGCCAGGCCGATAATGCGAGCCAGCCCGGCTAACCGGTCTAGCTCACTTCATATAAACAGTCCCTTTTTGGAGGCGTTTTTAATTTTACGACGAAATAAAGAATCGATTGAGCTGAGCCTGTTATCGCTTATTTAGTTTTCTGACAATATCGACATTGGAAGCATTTATTTGAGCGTGACATAATTCAAAAGAGAGAGGCAAATGCAAATAATGAACTGGTATATCTGAGGTCTCAGGCGTGAGACTGTAAGGGTCGGTATGGTGTCGAATTGCATTATGGGACCATTTTTTGAGATTGCGCAGGAAACCGGATTAAACTTAGAACCATGATGCAATTTGACAAGAAAACGATTCAGTCCCGCACGGCTATCAATTCAAGAGATGCTGTCATTCGAGTTTTCTAGTCATTAAACGTCAAATATAATTAAAACAACTGACTTTCTTTAGTATCCTTTATTTGTTAGAGATCTAAAATCACAGAAAGGGCCGTATATTACAGTCACTATTGGATAATTCGTCATCACGAAACTCGCCCATTTTAGCTTACATAGTATTTTTTGACATGTATAAGTGACAACTTCTCGAATTCTTTGAACGGGAAACATATTTATAACTACAACGATGGAGGTTCATAATTCATACTGTATCTGACAAAGACTGTTAAATTAGTCGTCTCTGTAACTTCGTTTTATTTATATCTCAATGAAAGTAAATAAAGTTTTAAATAATAAACGTGTCAAAGTTTTCGTGTTCGAGGCACTGACAATTTTCACTCATTTCTTGCTGTAAACCTTTTTCAATAGAGACCTTAACATCGAGGTTTGGTCATTTTACTGCAAACGGCAAACTAAAAAAACGGTTTCACGTTATCCGTCTGCCCATATTTGGGACTTAAGATTCGCGGGTGGTAGCTCGCTGCTGTCATGTTTGTTTTCATTCATCCGCTTACTTCTACAGTTTTTGCCGAGAATCTGTCTTCAAAATTACTTTTTTTTCAAATAAAATTCGATGATCAATGAGCAAAAGAGTTCTAAGAAGTCGTATTTCTTCTTCAAACGTCGGATTGTGATGTTTTAGGGTGCGAAAAACTTTGCGGTAAATCACTTCCTTCTGGAGTGTGGTCTAGTCGTACAAACGTGAACCTCAAACCGCCAACCTGACGGCAAGGGTCTGGTCGCGTGACTTCTTGACGTTCGCAGTTCGCGGGAAATGCCGAAAAACCTCAAATATATGACTCACTCGAGACCTTAAATTGATCATGACCCACGTACTACGTACAAAATACCACGCATAATCTGGAGGCAGCGTGGCCGAGCGGTTAGAGCCCTGAAATAGACATTAGAGATGTTAAGATCGAGGTTTTTCGCCATTTCCCGCGAACCGCTTACGTCGAGAAGTCACGTGACTAGTATATTGCCTTCAGGTTTGCGGTTTGAGTTTGAATTTGATGGGATAAAAGCAATAAAAGCAATTTCACGTGGTTTCCCAGGGGGAAAACAAGTGATAAATTTTTCCAATACAAGCTGAATCGCAGGCGAGTTTGATTATTCTTGACAACAGAAAATGAACAACTTTTTTTTTTTTATATTAAAGACGACAATGGCAAATTATGGGTGGAAGTGATATTGTTACTTTTTTGAATGCAGTGACGACCGTAGATGTCCTCACAGCAAGCAATAATGACGTTAATTTTGTCGAAACTCAAATCGGACGTTTTGCATGACTATTAAATCGTTGTTTCATTGTGAGAGAATAAACAAAGACGACCGCGATGTCTCGCATTGGCAAATTTTATCTTTTGTTTGCTTCCTGAAATACCACGTGACATTGCTTTCATCCCGTCAATCCTAAAGGGCGTGCAAAGATGGCAAGTATCGTGTATAAGGTCTATTGCGATCCTGAGGCTCCCAAATTCAATCCCCGCCCTGACCACTAGCTGGATTTGTTCCCTGTATTTCCGTGTGTAACTCCTCGACCACGCTTGTAAATAGCCAACTGCTTTGCCTCCGGTCAGTGGGGATTCTTAATCATATTTATGTTTATTTCAATTATTTGTGTCTGTTCTTCAGTATTTATGGGCAACAAAGTGAAGCTGCTGGGTTACCACTGTGTAATTGTGCTACCCCTACAAAGTCTATTTTTTTCACTGTTTGTCTTATACTAGAGTTTTGTTTATGAGTAAGCTTAGACAGAGTTCGGATGGACCCCGTTTAAGCTTACTCTTAGCTAACCTTGCATTAGTTCCTTCCCCAGCCAATGAAAGGTATGTTTTGTTCCGCCATCGAAGAAAGTCAGCAACTCCATTAATGTATATACCACAAAAAAACACGTTACTGTTCATAGTTTGTAGATTTTTATTAAGAAATTGTATTTCACAACAACACCAGCATCGTAAATATGCAGCTATTTGGAGAAAGGTTGTCGGAAAAAGTGCACGCGACAATCCCGAAAGGTATTGAGGGTGGTTTTGAGTTCTTTGTTCTTCAAAGAAATTTGAAAGAATGGCAGGAGAGGCCTTGGACGTATGTTTGCGAATGCTAAAGGAAAGCGACCATAGAAGATTCAACAGCCACAGTGTTAGGAACAGTGTATTGATCATATCCCATATTACCTTTCAGGATTGTCGCGTGCACATTTTTTCCGACAACCTTTCTCGAAATAGTTGTACATTGCTAGCCAATACTTAGCGCATATTTACTTGTTATTTCAGTAGAGAGATTTCTATAGCAATAAGCTTGGTTGACAAGTTAAGAAAATGCACGAAATGAGTGTTCTTAATGCAAACACGTTTGATATCAGGTGCGTCCATTCACATAAAGTTTGCGTGTTATGTAATCAAAGATACTATAAACGATAAATAGAAAAATAAAAATTAAATTATCTTAGGCTGTTCACAAAAAGCCAAGGTGAACATGAAATGCTAAGGGAAATTTAAAGGTTCTTCATGTATAAAGCATAACCAGCACGTAACTGGAATCTTCTGAATGGGTAAAGAATATGTAATATTCGGGTTTGCTTACCTTTGAGACGCAAACAAGAGCATAAGGCAAGGATGCAAGTGCTATACGCACATGCACTTAGAAAAGAAAATTTATGACGCAACTTCTACTCCTCTGACATTACTGAAGAGGAGAAGCTTTCACGAAATTACTGTTTCATGCTCTTTTCTGCCTTTTTTCAGCTAATGCCAGCTTTCGTCCTAATGATTCTTTCGTAATTATACTAGCTTATATGGCTCTCATACTTGGCGTCGCAATGGTTAACATGTCGCCTTCTTCCTGTTGTCGAGTTTATGACCGAGTATGACCGAACAGTCGGGTTGTAGTTTTAATTACATTCTAGTCCCAGAACAAACCCAGAAGAGCACTAAGGCTGTAATCGGTAGTGAACCAGAATAACTCATAAGCAACGGTCATTGTATATTAGCGAACAAAACAATAACTCTCCCTTGCTACAACATTTTCCCCTCAACGGCCCGCTTTGTGTGTAGTCTCGACTTTAACGACGACTATAAAATATGTCTCAGAGGTATAAAGTGGTCGAGAATTAGTTCCAAAAGGCGAACGGAAGGTTAAGGTCGAGGGAGTTTTCGGTTCTCTTATAAAATGGCCTCGTCGGAATAAGGAGTCTTCCTCTGCGGTTTTCTACTAAAAACAAGACGGAAAATGAAATTAGAAAAAATGTCATGTACATATATTTGGAGATGGGCTTATATTATGGGATGTATGTTTTTGTTGTTGCTTACATTTAAGTAGCTGGGCCAATAACTTGGGGACCTTATAAGTTGGAGTTCCTATAAGCGACAGTTTACCGTTGCAATCCCCACCGCGGATGGGCTCAGTCGGTAGAGCGCTTGACTGCAGAGCGGGAGGTCGTGGGTTCGATCCTCGGGGCCGGACCAATACTCAGGGTCTTAAAATAACTGAGAAATGAAGGTACTCCCTTTGCCCTGCAAACTTCAACAGCAAAGACCCCCTATCCGTTATTTTCTAAGTCTTAAATGTAAAGATAATTATCGCAATTATAGAGCTGACGCAGCAATATTTGCGTCATATATACCCTGATCCCAGAGGTTTTTCTCGACGCGGCTCGCTCTCTTCCACGACGAGGAGGAAAAAACTTCTGGGATCAGGGTTCGTCAGTTGTTACTTTCAGCCTGTATCTCCTAATTCTGAGGCAAAAAAGTAAGCATACACTGTTGTTAGGAAATGCTGGTCATTTGCAAATCCACAACCATCCTCT